TAAGTGGCTGCCTTCAGCTCAGGTCATGACCTCAGGGTCCTGGGATGGAGTATTAACAAGTTGGGAAGGGGAGCCACCACTTTGCTCTTCTATTGTGATCACAATAGAAGCAACACCTAACAGTTTTACAGTATTGCAAAATACTGAATTAGTGATGAGTTTACATGGATCCTCCTCTCCCGCTTTTCTTGGAGTAGGGAGGAAGAGGGAGAGGAAGCTAGAGAAAAGAACACTTGCTCAGGCTATTCAGATTTATTAAACAACTGTTGGGGACAGAGACAAACTGCAAGTATTATGTTTTTGTTAAACTTACCATGTTTACATTAATCCAGTCAACAATTTACAAAGTTATTTCCTATTGTTCCTCTGACATAATGCCAAACACCTAATTCTGGAATATCACAATTCATTGTTACCTGAACCGATGGGAAATCTACAATTTGGTAGGTCCCACTAGAATGAACATCAAAATCCAATGAAACCCAATAAAAAGTTTAGTCCCCCCCAAATCATTGATATATCCTGAAAAGTACATTGAGCATTACCAAGAAAATTTCACTTCCACAGATTTTCAGATATTTAGCTTTCCTGTTAAAACGATCTTATTTTTCCTATTCTAATATTTCTTAAAGAAAACAAAGGAAAATCTCTACCCTCTCACATAGCAAAATTTTATTCCTTGAGTGACCTGATGCTTTTATTTTACTTTGAAACCAGTCATTCTTCCATATATACATTTTATATAAATTTTAACACATTTTTAAGGTAATACTTTCTTTGAAAATAATGCAGTACTTTCAAAGAACTGATCAGAGCTTTAACATATATCCTCTTTGACCAAATATAATTTGGACATAAAGATGTCATTTCTCCTAGGAAATAAATGTTAAAGATTCTAAGGCCAGCCACAAACACAGTTCAAAAATCCATTAGGTGCCAAATAACATTTGATATGAAAAATCAAGAGGACAGCACAAAATTTGGGTGTATATGCAACACCACGCCACAAGTCGGCCGACAGACATATACCCTGTGTTGGGCCTTGATCTTGACCAAAGTACTGTAACAGCCAGCTGGGCACAGGCTAGCCCATTATGGGTAATGAATTAAAAAGTGGCTTATCCCAGGCACCTGGGTGGCTCAGTCGTTAAGCGTCTGCCTTCGGCTATGGTCATGATCCCAGGGTCCTGGGGTCGAGTCCCACATCGGGCTCCCTGCTTGCGGGAAGCCTGCTTCTCCCTCTTCCCCTGCTGGTATTCCTGCTCTCGCTCTCTGTCAAATAAATAAAATCTTAAAAAAAAAAAAAAAAAAAAAAGGCGTATCCCTCAGCATAGAAAAAAAGGGGCAAAAAGTAAAAATTCAGGGTAACAAGTTTTAATGCATCAAGCAAAACTGTTTGCGGTAACAATGCAGACAAAAGATCTGGCAAGTGAAGACTTTTGTCAGCAGTCATGTATACAGTAAATAAATTCACTGTTTCTTTAAAAATGTAAAAGCTTCCAGAGAGGGGCACCTGGGTGGCTCAGACAGTTAAGCATCTGCCTTTGGCTCAGATCATGATCCATGGATGTAATAAATACACTTAAAGCCATTAATGCCTTAAATTAAAATTTTATTTCCTCATAGGTTTTGATTCAAAATAAATGGAAGGAATGACAGAAATATATGTTACCATTTTCCAACTTTTACTGAATTAATGGATCTAGGCATTGTAGCTATTAATATCACAAACCTGGAACACAGCACATGCTCCTGATGGAGGAAAAGAAGACATTAAAAAAAAAAAATTCTAATCTGGTCCCTTAGAGTCAGCTACCAATTTATAGGAAACACAAAATATGTTAAACATCTGAGGGATACAAAACAATAAAACCTAGACTACAGGCAAACAGAACAAAATAAGGCTGGTTTATTCAGGCAAATTCCGAGTTAGAAAGACTGAGAGATGGGGGGGGATGACGACTATACATTAAAAAACGAAGTTAACAAGGGGCACCGGGCTAACTCAGTCAGTAGAACGTGCAACTCTTGATCTTGGGGTCGTGAGGTCAAGCCCTGTGTTGGGTGTGGAGCCTACCAAAACAAAAACAAAAAAACCCACAAAACAAAAAAAACCTGCTAAAAGAACTTAGGAAACCAACTAAATACATGGATGCTGAGCCAAATAGACATATTATAAAAATTAATATGTATGTGTGTATGTATGTATTTTTAAGTCTTCATCTCTTAGATATACTTCTTAAAATCTTTTTAGATAAAGTGACAGGATAGTTGAGATTTCCTTCAAAACAATATGGGAGAGAAGAAATGGCTGGGAGTATAGACCAAACAAGACTGGTCATGAGATGATAATTGTTGAAGCTGGGTATAGCTAAGTGCAGGTTTATGACTGCACTATTTCTGTATTTTTGTACATAACTGAGTTTTTCCATAATTACTGGTTTTTAAAAAGGATAAATAATTAGAAGCATTTGGAAAAATATGGATGAATGAGCCTAGAAATGTTCAATATGCACAAAGAGGGTGAAGCTGCATACAGTCTGATTTGGAGGAAACTGTGGAGTTCCTTCAGTGGTTCCTGGGTGAAACAGCTCCACAGGACTCATTTTAAGTCCCTCTCCACTAAGCCCCAGGTTATCTGATGTATCACTCCTTCTTGGTTCAGACACGGGCCAATATAAATTCTACTCCACACCAGTTACTGAAAACTGAACAGGAAATAAATCAGAAAACAACAAAAAAGATAAAAGAAAAAGCAGACACAGTCAAATAAAAAAGAACGGAAAGACAACAATGATCAACACCAATCAATCCCCCCTAAAAAAGACCAATCAATCCATTTCTTTTTTTTTAAAGATTTTATTTATTCATTTGACAGACACACAGCGAGAGAGGGAACACAAGCAGGGGGAGTGGGAGAGGGAGAAGCAGGCTTCCCGCTGAGCAGGGAGCCCGATGTAGATCCCAGGATCCTGGGATCATGACCTGAGCCGAAGGCAGACGCTTAACGACTGAGCCACCCAGGCGCCCCATCCATTTCTTATTTAAACAGACACAGCTTTCAATTCCCTCATTCTCATTCTGTAACCTAAATGAGCAGTCTAATACCCAAATCAGCCTTATGTAGAAATGCACTTAGCTTCCATAACTTTAAAGATAAATATAATTTAAACATTTTGATAAATGCATAGGAAATTTTGTTATTTACAGATATCTCATTATAAATTCTTTTATAACAATACACCCCATTACATTCACCCATGGGGAAGGGGAAAATGATAGTATTAAAATATTATTAATAATGTAGCCACTGATATTTACTAAGCATGTATGTGCATTAATTTCATCTTCAGGACAACTCTATGAGATACATACATTATGATTATTATTATCTACTCCCATTTCACAAATGTGGAAACTGATCAATTAAAGTATAATGAATATTTTAAATAATCAGTTATACAAGCAATTCATCTTAGAGTATTAGGGGATGAATCATTTTTTGAAATGTGCTTTATAGGGGTGCCTGGGTGGCTCAGATGGTTAAGTGTCTGCCTTCCGCTCAGGTCATGATCTCCAGGTCCTAGGATCAAGCCCTATGTTAGGCCCCCAGCTCATCCAGGGGTCTGCTTCTCCCTCTCCCCGTTTGTGTTCTCTCTCAAATGAATAAAATCTTTAAAAAATAAAATGTGCCTTATAACATTTTAAAGCTGTGTGATATAAAAATTAACAGTAAGAAGAGTCAAATGATTTGCCCAAAGTCACCAAATCAGCTGTACAGAGCTTCCTAATTATGAGTATAGTATATTTATGATGGTATTTCCTAAATCCTCAAATCCCAGTGGTTCTCCATTCTTTTTTTTTTTTTTAAAGATTTTATTTATTTATTTGAGAGAAAGAATGAAAGAGAGAGAGAGCATATGAGAAGGAAGAGGGTCAGAGGGAGAAGCAGATTCCCTGCCGAGCAGGGAGCCCGATGTGGGACTCGATCCCGGGACTCCAGGATCATGACCTGAGCCGAAGGCAGTCGCTTAACCAACTGAGCCACCCAGGCGCCCTCTCCATTCTTTAAAAGGAAAATTAAGTCACAGACCAAAGTCATTTTGAGTTCATTTTAATAGAAATGTTTCTTTTGCCCAGGAAATGATCAAAGACTCAAAGATTAACTGAACATACACAGATCCAAGCTGAACAAAAAGCCAAAAGGAAAGCATTGCATACCATCAACTCCTTTAGGGCAGGGTCCCTGTGTGGTATTTTATACATTCCCCCCATGGGATCAAGTACAGAACAATTTACACATAAGAGGAGCTCCATGAAAAGTAAGCAGTGGGAACTGTTCTACAACAGCATCCGGGTAGCCCACATCTCCATCAATCTGGCCTCCAAATAACGGGGGAAATAATGCTTAGGAAACTCCTTTGACTCAAAACACCTACCCTTCACTGTCATGCAATCTACCAATGGATCCACCAAATTTGCTGGGTGGGACACCCAGTTTGACAAGGCAATCCCTGCCCTGCTCCAGAGACAATTTCATAAACTCGGTCCTCCAAATCCTATTTCCCCCAAGAAAATACTGTACTACCCCATGACTTAATTTCTCTACAAAGCCTCAATACCTTCTGTTATCAAAGGTTGATAAGTTAGCAGTGGTTCTCCATCTTTTTTGATTCGGGACACTTCAGAATCTCAGAAAAAGTCAAAGTTCTCTGCCCAAGAAAAAAGGCCAGAGCACACAAACAATTCTGCACAGAATTTTGGAAAATCTCATGGCTTCTAATTAACAGCTCCGGCCTTAGTTCTTCCTTGTATTTTTCCTTCACCTTCACAGTGGCCATTTGTCCTTTTTTCCACCATCTTTTTCATTCTTTACCCACTAGAACTACTGAAACTGCTCACCCCGCTGGGCCCCTCCCTGCCCAGGTCTCATCCACTGCCCCACCCTCACCCATCAGTGTTACGGAATGGCTACCATATGCCTCCCCTGGGACACTTACCGTTGTCTATCTTGTCTTCCTCTCCCCTACTATACTGTAAACTGAAAGGTGTGAGTAATCATACTCCTTTCTGTAGCTCTCACAGAGCATGCAGCACAGTGCCTTGTACTTGGCAAGCATTCACTAGAGTGAATCAATGTTAAACCTAAGGATTTAAAAGAAACCAGCCAATCAGCAACAATCTTTTAAATGGAACATATGAATAATCAATACTTGGGCAGCCCAGGAAGTTGATGCAGTTAAGCAACTCCACCCACCATTTCCTGACCTAGTGCACTGCGAGCTCAGAGATGGAAGGTGGATGAGGTGGAGACACAGAGGATACTCTCCAGGTCATGGTCACTTTTCTGCAAAGCAAAAAGTAGTTTGGCTTGAGTAGCAGCTTTTTTCCAGCACCCTAGTTACCTAAAACATTCATATGCAATGTCAGATTTTAAAGAAAATCTTACTCACCAGCAGATGTGCAAATAACTTCCACAAAAGGTTTCTAACAATACTGTCAGTTTCGCTAGAGTAAAAACAACTTTCATGTTGCTCATAACCTCTAGGACAGAACAATCTAGATATGCAGGCATTCAGCTATGAGTTAGGCAACCTCCCTCTCATTTTCAAAGCCCCAAACCCCATCCTTTAAATACTAAAATACACATACACTAAGTCCCAACAAGAAACACTGTAAAGTCTCCCCATGATTCTTTACTATATTAAACACAGCTGTCTGGGGTCATGTTTACATAGATTTTTAAAAAAATGTCAAACCAACATCAGTGCTAAAATATTTCTGATAAACAGACTCTTATACACCCAAACTAGAAAGAAAAGAACACCAAGAAGTTTAAAAAAACTTTCATCTTTAAGGGCACTAAAAACATAAACTATGTCCTATTATCATGTTTTGGTTATTTTGGTGTAACCGCTATACATACATTAATTTTAAAGCCACAATGTGTCATTAATTACTTCAAAAGAAAAATCCTAACTTCCCTGGTTCTAAATTAATTATAAAGTATGCAGAATTCACACCCAGAACCTTTAGGCACTTCAATTATTAACAAACCAAACCACAAAGAAGAACCTAAGATCAGATTTCATTGCTGGGTTAATAGGTGGCAAAACTATACATACCAAACAGCAAAGACAAATATAGTAAGAATTAGAAATGATACAAAACTTTCCCCCCAAATTTCTAGTAATAAGCCCATTCCTCTCTTTCCTACTGCCAATCTTATAGAAACAGACTATTAGTACAAATAACTAATCGTAATTCACAAACTTGGAATCTGTGACTCAAGGGTCCAACTCTTCCTTGTCAGCCTCAAAGCAGAATTCTATTCCCTAGGCAAGATGGTCTTATAAGCTAACAAACAGTAGCCCACTGGAAAAAGAAAACAAGTATCTCCCCTAAACATACCAGCACCTGAGCTAGAAGGAATGCTTTGTATCTGTTCCTCAGATCATTTGCATCTTGGGTCCTTTGTACCAGCTGCTCCTTCTTTCCTTTCTCCCCGATCTCTGTATGCCTATCCCACTATGGTCCTCATACCACCAACAAACCTATAACCTTCAGTGTTTTTGTATTGCAGTCTGTAACCACTGTGTGGAAAAGAAGATAAAAGCTCAGAAACTGAAACTTGCGCTTCCTTCTGGCTGGAACCGCCATCTTCCAGTAATTCACCAAAATGACCAACACAAAGGGAAAGAGGAGAGGTACCCACTATATGTTCTCTAGGCCTTTTAGAAAACATGGAGTTGTTCCTTTGGCCACATACATGCGAATCTGTAAGAAAGGTGATATTGTGGACATCAGGGAATGGGCACTGTTCAAAAAGGAATGCCCCACAAATGTTACCATGGCAAAACTGGAAGAGTCTACAATGTTAGTTAGCATGCTGTTGGCATTGTTGTAAACAAACAAGTTAAGGGCAAGATTCTTGCCAAGAGAATTAATGTACACATTGAGCATATTAAACACTCAAAGGGCCGAGATAGCTTCCTGAAGCATGTGAAGGAAAATATCAGAAAAAGAAGGAAGCCAAAGAGAAAGGTACTTGGGTTCAACTGAAGCGCCAGCCTGCCCCACCCAGACAAGCACACTTTGTGAGGACCAATGGAAAGGAGCCCGAACTGCTGGAACTCATTCCCTATGAATTCATGGCATGATAAATGTAAAGAAAATAAAAGACCTCAAGACTGTTAAAAAAAAAAAAAGAAAGAAACTGAAACTTGCTCAAAATCAAGTAGTGATGTAGCCATAACTTCAAAGGTCAACATTTTCTGATACGTTACAAACCCAAAACACTACATTTTAAGTTATAAAAGATTCAAATAAAGAGGTACACCAAGTTTTCCCTATGAAACCACTCTGTAATATGTCTTATTTCAGGAACTGACACTCAGTCCCATCTAATTTTGAACACTTCCCTCCAACTTTTAGAAAGCAAAATAAAAGACAATCTGAGAAAGAACTTTGTATCCAAAAAGCCTTCTACAGTCATTAGCAGACAACTAAACATTTTCCAGAGGCAAACCAGAAGCTAACCTGTATTAACTGGAATCTAATGGAGAGGTGACAGTGCTAAACCCAAGTTCATGCATAAACAGACCCTTTAAATCAGTTCATTCAGTGTTTCCTATAACAATGCCCTCCAGGAGAATAACATTAACTATAATTCTTATTTCTGAGTGAAATGTATAGCTGAGAAAAATATTAAATACCCAAGGATAATCAAATAGGATGTTCTTCAGTTTCTGAATTCAATTGGAAAATAATTATTTAACACCTACAGATATGCTCCAATGTGCTTGAAACCCCGGAGCCACCTAGGCAACCCGAGCATGCAATTCTTGATCTCAGGGTCATGAGTTCAAGTCACACATACTTAATTAAAAAAAAAAAAAGAAAAGAAATTGCAACTATCTTGTGGGGTCTAAAGAGATCAGGCCTTTCTTATCCCTGAGAATTTTCACCAATCCTTAGTTGAATTTTCTCCCATTTCACAAGTATAAAATAATTTCCAGTCTCTAATTTGAACATTCAAGCAATCATTTCTCCTTCTATTCAAATCTCAGTTTGGGAGCTAAGATACTAACTAGATCTTTCATTCACTCACTTACTATTTACTGAGCATCTACTATGTACCAGGCACTCGTCCAAAGACCGGGGATACAGTAGTGAACAAAATATAAAAATACTCATCCTCATTAAACATTCTAGGTGGAAGATAGACTAATAAAACATATGTACATAAAAGGTCTTTATAGAAAGAAAAGGAAGTACTGAGCGTATGTATCATATATAAATAATATATTTAATGCATAAGATTTCAGAAAGCTATTTTACAGTCAACCATATCATGAAATGAAAAAAAATTCTTAGTAGAACTCATTAGAAAGAATATGAGTGCCCATTTATATGACAAATCTAGAAATAGGATAAGATCATCAGGATACTAGACAGAAACAAAATGGCACATTAAGCAAGGTCTTTTTTGGAACTGAATCTGATCCTGGTGTGTGCTCAAACCATTCCTGAAATACTCTAGATCTGAAACAAATTTTAGAAGATTTATGGAGAGACACACGCACAAAAAAACTTCAAAGAGATTTTGAGACAATATAAGGGAAAGGATCAACACCTGGGAATCACATTAAAAATCAAGAGATTATTCTTTAGGTCACTCACTGTTAGCATAAAAGTACAGTATTTCCTAAGTTTTAAACACTAAAACTAAATTTGATGGAAAGAGAAGACTGATTTCATAGCTATCTGATGCAACTCAACTCTAAATTTCTTGCATGATTACAGGAAACACACAAATCAAAACTACAGATAAATGCCTTCTACAGGTTCTCATGTGGGAAGATGGCAAGGAGAAACATGAGTAGAGGAACAAAAAACAGGCAAATCAAACAGGAAAAGCATTATCTTTGAACTTAACATGAAAATAAAGGCTAGCCATAAGGTAAAGAAAAAGCAGTACTAAAATTAACATTTTTTCCTAGCATGGCCCCAGGAAAAAAGGAAATAGGAAAGGCTCAAAGAGGCAAATTTTATCAGAAAAATTAAATTATTGTGAAATTTTCTTTTTGGTCTTAAACAAAGATTTAAAACCCAAAATGCCTTTTCTAAAACAAAGTTGCACAAATATTTTAATTCTATCCCACTATTCCATTTCTACCCACATCCCACAAATCCAGTAACAGAAAATTCAGTGACTCTCCAAAATAATACTGAATAGAATTCTAGTTAAAATTTTAGAAAGGGAGTGATTGAAAGGCATCAAGAAATATAAAACTTGGTTTTAAAATCATCCCATCTTGTTATTTCATGCTCAAAACAAAAATAAAGAAAGTGTAATGTTTATTTGGTTTCCTGAACAGAACCCTCCTTACTGTGGGAATTATAAATCAAAGAACCATGAGATGACCACCTAGCCAATGTCAGGACCAGAACACCCACTTTTATCACTGAACTCTTGAGCTGACAAGGTTCCAAAGGCTGGCTTATACTAAAATTAGTGTCGATTTATTAAGTCATAATGGGGATCAAAATTCCAATTTCAGAAACTGGAGTACCTGAGTCCTCCATTCATATTTGTCTCCTCTTCTGGTACCAATATTATTAAACCAGAAGATTTGGGTTACACGTGAAAAAAGCAAAGAAAGAAAAAACCTAAGGAATAATTCAACCAAGCTATGATGAATCCTGATGTACAATTTTTGACCCACAACTGATTATACCCCGTTAAGAACCAAAGAACTTGGGACGCCTGGGTGGCTCAGTTAGGCATCTGCCTTCAGCTCAGGTCATGATCCCAGGGTCCTGGGATGGAGTCCTGCATCGGGCTCCCTGCTCGGCAGGGAGTCTGCTTCTCCCTCTGCCTGCCACACCCCCTGCTTGTGCTCTGTTAGGCAGTCTCCCTCTGACAAATAAATACAGTGGTAAAAAAAAAAAAAAAAAAAAAAAAGAACCAAAGGACTTGCTCAATACAAGAAAATTCAGCATCTCCACCCCTTCCTAAAGGCAGAACAAGCATAGCTTAAAATTTTTTTAAGCTCCTCCTTAAAGCTTAATCAACTTTGGTTTATTATATACTTTCTTCAGTGACATAGCCAAATGGATTTGAACTTCCTAGGTACTCACATACTCTTCTGAGCTTGAGCTAATTCCCTTAAATGTTCTATATCTCTCCAGCTGCTCACTTAACTAGACCATGTTCCTTCAATTTTTTTAAGATTTATTTATTTATTTATTTGGCGGGGGCAAGAGAGGCGGCAGGAGAGGCAGCGGAGAGGGACAAAGAGAATCTCAAGCAGACTCCCCCTGAGCAGAGCCCAACAGGGCTGA